AATACATCTTCTTGGAAGGCAGCAAAATCTTTCTGAGCAGAGGCTTACCTAATATTGATTCTTGCTATTTCATAAGCTTTTCCGGTAAGTACCAACTAAAATGTTAAATATTTCTCGGAAAACGCAATCAATAGAAAGTAAAAACGAAAATGCTTATCGAAGCGCCTATGAACCACTTAGCTATGTTCCGTGAAGTCTGTGCTATAAAATTCATTCAACTCCATAGTAATTACTGTTAAGTATTATTTCTGTGACGCATGACTCTTCAAAATTCCGCAGGCGTTAATTGCAACGAAGAAAAGAATTAACGGAAAGACGCATCAACGAAAATTTGTTCAAAACTAAGAAACAAAAATGAGGAAGATAACGATTGAAAGCCATAATTCTACCACGTTTGTGGAGTTATCGTCGAGGGCTAAGTTTATTAATCGAGAGAGCGAAACAGTGATATTCAAAACAAGTCATAGCAAATATCACAAACTTTTGAACAAGATTTTCAACTACAGCTATTTCAGCTGACAATAAAATGAATTTCTAGTCATTAGAGTTAAAAACTGCCCGCACTCACCTCGGTTTTGTCGCGTGCATGGACATACCGAAACCTTTGGACATAATAAAACACCAACCACGCAAGCGAAATCACCATCAAAACAATAAAGGACACCGAGACGAACAGTACAGATGTCGGATTCACTTGCCATCTTTTTTTTGAAATCGTTTCACCCACAGAAATCTCCACATACACAGCTTTGGTTCTGTTGACGAGAGCATCGGCCAGCTCGACTCCAAGATTCCTCTTTATACTGACAGCAACAATCGTATCTGCCCCAACATGTGACATATGGACAACCTCGTCGCTATCCTTGTTGTCGTAAATAACAACTGCCGTAGCGTTATGATTGCGAGCATTTATGATCTTATTCTTAAAATTACACACTCCCCTTTTAATGAGGGCAATCCATGGCTTTCTGTCCACCGCGACGTTAAATACGTTACAACCATTAACATTATTTCCCATCAAACTATACAGCCATCCCTTCTCGTTGCGTTTCGGACTGTTACTACCAAATTTTCCCTTTCCATCAAACGGCTTTATCTTACATTTCTCACCGAGTCTGCCACAAAATGTTATATTCAATACAGCTTCTGTGTATTTCTCAGTTTGCTGTTCGTCATCGTAGAAACTGCAGTTGACAAAATTCGCGACACAAACGAACAATAACAGCGCTGAAATGATGTTGATGCGCTCTGTGAAGCTGCTCGCGATGGCCATTGTTATTTCAAAGTAGACTAAAAGTTACAGGATCCTTTAAGATAAGCCGTAGAGAAGAGAATGTACCAGGTTTCGAAGGATTTTTAAAGATTTTTCAGTGTAAATAGCTACTCAATTCTTCCGCCATGTTCATTGCTCGTGTAAAACCACAGTAAAAGCAGAAGTAGTCACGTGATCATTGATTGGCACACCTGGTGTCGATATTCCATTCCTTTCTACGTCATCGTTCCGCATTGAAGGAAGCATCGCGCCAAGATATTGTTCCAGTCTCGATCAGGAAATCAGAGCTATATCCGAAAGTGAAAATGCACACTCTTGAAAACTTGTGTAAGCAACAGCGGAAGCATTACTTGTTGGTGAGAAGAGGAAAGAATATTCGCCCCCGTTGACGAAATTCTTTTCTCCAAAACCCGATTTGCTGGAAACCCCACGATCAAAATAATTATGCAACATGAGGCACCATAATGATATGACGTTTATTTGTTATAGTGAACATAATTTCTCAATTTATCACACCTGTGCCCTTCATTTTTCCGCTCAGTGATGAACGTCGTAATAAAATTCGCGGAAAGACTCACTATAAAAGATGGCCAAAGAGTCGCTAAAATAAAACTCGCTAAATAATTGGAAAAATGTGACGCATTTCATGCATGTCACTTTTGAGCCGGTTTCGGGCTAAACAGTTTAAATTTCTAGGATGATGATGAGAAAATCTAAAAATATCAAGTTTCAAAATTCTTAGAATAATGAATGCAGAGTAAATTTCTCCTGATATCGTGCGGACATTGGACTTCGTCATCTCCGGGTAACACCCCCCTCCCCGCCCCCACCCAGTGTCGGGTTGTCACAATACTTCTCATTTCCGTGTACTTCTGGAATATCAGGAAAGAGACTTTGACCTTAGATTTAATCATAAACGTATAAGGGCTTTTTAGACTCTTGTTTTGCATGCTGACAATGCGATGAAGACGCCTTACAACATATATATAAAAGAAAACTCATTATGCCCTCTGTTTAAAAAAGTCGTCAATGATGTTTATCTTAGGAGCGTTCTTTGTGTCCTGCTTATGCTCTGTCCCAGTTCTTTCGTGAGTTCCACGTTCTGTCTCTCCCAATTTTATGTGCCTCTCATTCTTGCTCCATGCTCCCTCGCGGCTATAGGCCTTTTTCCTCTGCTTTCAATCAATGTTGGGTTCCACAAGAAAAAGGAACTGACACAATCTAAGACTACCTTGAGAGGCGTGCTACAGGCAACGTTTGCCCTCCGTCAATTGCTCATCATCAAAACAGCCTATCGTAAACATAGGCATGCGTAGCATGTAAGAGTTATTTTTTGGGCTGGGCGAGTTAAGATGGAATACTTTGAGTAACTTTCAAACGGACGAAAATATCGCATTACTTCACCTTAAGAGAAAGAAAAAAACAAATTTATCTGAATTCACACAGACATTTTGTGGTCTATTGTCTGAAAACTTCTAAGGAAAAATAAAATGCATCAGTGCCTCACGTACTGTTGTTTCCCTCACAGCTATTGTTTGGTCTCGTTACACAACGCCGTATATTCCCCGGAGCGAGAGCACGTTGCATGATGAAACCAAATAACGGTTGCGAAAGAGACTACGCTTACTTCCGTTCCTCTAACAGAGAGGAAATCAAAATTATTTGTCTGTAGTTATTTGCTTTAAAAGTATAATTCCACGTAATTTTACTACGAAAAGCAAACTGAAACTCTGTTCTATCTCCAATAGACCCTAATCAAAGATACATTGAACAAGAGAAAAAAATAATATTTCAAAGAGAGATCCTTGATTGGTTATTGCCTATCTGGACTTTGCCCTCTGTGTGTGAAATACATGATAAAATGCAGGTTGTTTACAAGGAATTAAGACGCGATTTAATTAAGTTTAAGGTAGCTAAAAGCGAATTTTATTTGTGGAAAAAAAGTCAAAACGCGAGAGAATTGCGTGGAAAATTTACTATCAGAGGCATTTAGTTCCGAGTGAATTTTTTCAGCGGGGTCGGACAATGCGATTAGAACACGTGATCAAGTACAGGTTGTTTACATGGAAATGACACGTGATGGACCGAAGTAATGGGCTCCTGGCGAAGTCTAATTTGGAAAGGAGCAAAAAGGAGCGGAAAAACATGTTTCAACTGAAAAATGATACAAAAAGGTTAAAAGCGAGCCCTTCATATCCCGATAAATCTCGACCTTAATTGACGATGCTCTCGTGAAGGCCACAAACCATTACACTTATCAAAATTGGCCCAAAATTTATGGTTTATGTCATTCTTTGTTCCTTGATATCCTTTCAAGAAAGCTGTGATATGATTGGTGCGAGATACATACCCTAGACGCTGTGATTGGATATCAAAATGCTGCGGTATGTTTGGTGCGAGATATATACCCTGATGCGAAAATCTGAATGGTGCGAGATAATACCCAAACGGGGCGATCTCATTGGTGCGAGCAACATACCACTCTAAATGCTAACATAGTTTTTTTTTTTTTTTTTAAAGAGAAAAAATAACTCAAAAAAAATTGTGAATTACTTTGATCATGCACATAAGAAATAATTGAATTTTAAAAAATCGAACGAACGAACAAGCACTGTGCCTTAGAATGTCACGACTTTATGATCGCGAACAAGTGACCTAGTTCACAAATCTGAAATGTAGCCAATGGGACGTACCCTTGTGACAATAAAACGATGCAAACAACTTTCATCACGTTATTTCAAGAGCACGATTAAAACATTGCAAAAAATGTACTTATCTAAATTTGTAACTAAACTTTGAGATGAAGTCAAACAGAACTAAACTCTGTTTGATTTCTAGAGATCATGTAACACATGGAACGTGGCTAATATACGAAAACCACTCTGTAGAAGGGTAGCGACTTCGTTCGCAAAGAAGTTGGCAACAACGAAGAAAATTCATCGCGTATCAGAAAAGCACCAAGACATAACCCAGACTGGACAGGTCCAACCGATTTTTAACGCTTCCGTCCATTTACGGAGGTCTAAGTCCGATTAAGGACACCCCTGTCTGGTTACCTACACTTACGTCTGTTATGAATTTAACTTGAGCTTGATGGTGATTGCACATTAAAGATTGTACCACTTAATTGAGTGGCATTAACTATCAGTTTTCGTCACGTAATGTTACCTAACTGGACCGTGTGTAATCGTTTCTTCAAGCAATGTGAGGCTGTGTGTGTATTTCACGACTGATAGCCTGTGTACTGCTGCCTCCTACCCTCCAAAAGAAATCAGAAGGGAGTCCTTCCCGACTTTTTTTAAGGGTCGCAGGCGGCTATAAACAGGCTAACGATCAAAGGTTAGTTCACTTTAAAGACGTCGTTCTTTTTAAAAACACAACAACAAGCATTCAGCAACACACTTGGAAAGAGGTAACAGTATTTTTATTCATTTCCTTTGGCAACACATTCATTCCACAGGTGCAACAGTTGTCTTTTCAGATACATAGATACCATCCAAGAACATACGGATATCTTTGTTCTTCACCAGAGTGGACTGGTGGATAAGAGCAGCTGAAAGAGAGAGGAAACAAAACTCTGAGAAAGGGTTTAGATTGCCTGGTAATTTTACAAGAAAGTAAAAAAAAAAAGGACAAAGAATGTACTTGTATGTTCCCAGAATGGTTTCCACCAGCAATGAAATCAGAATAAAAAAGATGCTTTTCTTCCTCCTCAAGTCAAAAGCATGGTGGGCTCTCAAAATCAAGAGTCTCAACATTTCCATGTCATTTTTCTTAATTCTGCTTACAACTCTTTTGCTTATAATCAAGTGAACCCTACATTTGGTTTTATCAACTGAGTTGATAATGTAAACTAAAGCTCAAAACATCAGCTTCAGAAACACTACACAGTGGCTGATTTACATTATCAACTCTGTTAATATGACCAAATTATCTTGTAATATCCTCCCCCCCTGCCACCCACCAACCAATTGGAGAAAAACACCAAAAGGTGTTACACTAGACACCACTTTCAGTGAACTGTTTTTTTGAGAAAGACACACTATTTCTGCAATTCATCTCTTCAACCACAAACAAAACTGGGTTCTACCATTCAAAAATACATGCTACCACTATGCACCAATCTTACCAGAGTTGGAAACCAGCTCAATGTCATTCCCTTCCAAGATGATCTCATCCTTTACAGAGGAATTCACACATGTGACACCAGGTCTCATTCTCACACGTCTTATGTACTTCTCACCAAGGAAGTTACGCACCTCCACTAAGGTGTTATTCTCAGAGACAGTGATGTTAATTGGGAAATGAGCATACACTGCCTTCATCTTATACTTGTAGCCCTGAAGAATTTGAAATGACATTATTAATTCACAATAACATTTTAAATATATTAAGTGATTTTTGCCTCTGGAGAATAAAATAAAGTCGAAGTTTGCTGTATCAACCTCTTTAGTAACACTAAAAAAAAAACCTAAACTATAAAATAAACAGTCTTCTTAACCCCTGCCTCCAGCACTTAGTTCCAAACTCGGAGTTTGGCAAAACTACAATCTAAGAACCCCTTCATAACAGCTCTATTAAATATATTCCATTTGTAAAAAAGTAAACAAGATTAAAAGGTATTGAGTAGGGATAGAAATCTGCTACCCTTTTGTTAAGTCAACAATGAGAGAATTTTAATACTTAATTCAAAATGCACCCCAAATAGTTTCAAATGATATTAAACATTGTTTAACATCAAGGTATTTTTCTAAATTCAGATATTCCTCTCCCATTAAGTTCTAGTTCTACCTCATAATGCTCAGATTTTTTCACAAAATTTACTCAGAATAATTTTTTTCCAAGTAGAAAAAACATATACCACCTAACACCGACTTGAAAATTCAATAACAACTTGATTAACACAGCAAAAGATGTTTTTTTCCCAAACACCCAAGTCCCAAACAAGTCCCCATGAGGAATCAAACCCCAGACCTTTGCATTCAATGCTCCCATTCTCTATTTCTGAGCCACAGAGCCTCTATGGCGAGCAAGGCCATCACAAAGTTCATACAAGAAGTTCAAAAAATCTTTCCTTTGCCCCATGCTCGTGACAAGAGAAAAACAACATCTTTCACTACTTCTTTACAGAGCTAAAAATTTACCATCTTTCTTATTCTTTGATTAACACAATTTGAAAACCGTGAATCAAATACATAGTTCTTTAACAATACACTGAGAATCTAAGCAACAAATTTAATCATCATCTGCTTTCTATCTACAAATCTACTCACATAGGTAACTCCCTTGATCATGTTTTCCACATGAGTACATATGGTTTTGACACAAGCCAGCTGTTTGCGTTTTGCAAACCAAACATCAACACGCAGCTTCTTTTTACTCAGCAGAGTAAGCTCCAAGTTAAGATGTCTGAAACTTCTTACCAGGCTACCGCGTGGTCCTTTTACTGTCACTTCACGACCTCTCAGCTTGATCGTGACTGCACACATAAAAAAGAAAATTAAAAATTCTTGGACATCCAAAATCCTTGAATTGCCATTCAAACACCTATTTTTAAGTTCTGGATAATTTGAGGTGTTTATTTGAGGTGGTACTTAATCAAAGGAGGGTACTTTTTCCACTTTCTGTTTTTGTCTTTTCCAAATCTGTTTCTTTGTTTAGTATTTAGCAAAAAATGGTTTGCATGATCATTTTTCAGATATAGAATTTGTACATAAACAACCAGATAAAAGACATAAGTTCATTAAACTTTGTTAAACTTTTTTAAATTGAATCAGAATCTTGTTTTGTTTTAACTCACAACAAAATAGCTAAATTAAAAAACAGAATGAAAGAGGAAGTTACCATTTTCGGGAATGTCAACTGTAGCACTTGCCAGAATAGTCTTCATGGCTGCAAAAAATCTGAAACAAAAATACAAACAAGAACTCAACCATTTCACTTTAATCTTATTATCAATTTTCCTTACTGTCCAACATACAATTCTGATGATGTTAGTTTGGAGAATTTGGTATTAGATCAACTGATCCCCTTGGCAATAATTTACTTTATTCTAGAGGTTCTGACTTGGTCACTCGTAGGAGTCAAAGAGTTAACAGACTTTTTCGCTGTGGTTTAAAGTGGGGTCACTGACGACTCACAAACTTTAAAGATTTGCTAAGAAAAAGGGCCATTTTTATTAGCTCACATTTGATCACAATTAGTTTGGAGCGAATCAATGAAGCCAACTTGTATGAAATCAACTGTCACGTTCAATAAGATTTAGAGCTGCATGTAATCCTAACAGTTGTGGATCTGGGAAATACTTTGCGAGTTTAGCGCTAAAAAGAATATTCTTTAGATGACAGATCTGCTGAAAAAATGTACTTTCGATCGCATATGAAGGTGGCAAAATCTGATGTAGATTCTTTTCCTTCACCAGAGTATTTCAAATATATTTTATCTAGGCAGATATATTTCAGGGGAATAAACAATGAACGGTCTCGCAATGTAGACGTGATTTCTGTAAACACATAACATGCGAGTCAACCTTACTGGTTAGCGAGACGATTGTACGTTACCAAGCCTTTAATCGTAGCAAAGAATCCATTGAGACCATAAGTAAATTTATTTAGTTTAAAATAATTTGCAAAACAGCTGTGGATGATGAAAGGATGGGGTAAATATAACCGGATTCAAAGCAACATTATTACCTTTGCGAAAGATGGAGGAAAGAGAAAGACCTGAAGTTTGTAACTGTGCTTAGTAGCCAGGCTCTCTGACAATTTCTTCCCTTCCAGGGCAGAGTAGGGACGAGATCGGCAATCAAACGAAGTAGTGACTCTTTTATTGGAATATAGAGAAAATATACGATATAATAGTTTAGAAAAAACTCAGAAAGAAATTTTTTCATACAGATGAATATTTTTTTTTCACGGAAATAGTTTTCATAAGAAAACATAACCGGAAACACCCCTCCCCTAGTTGAGTTAGTAAGTTACCAGTCCCTCAACAGGGCAACCATATTTCAACTGGTTGGAAGTTAGGTTATCGGCGGTCAAAGTTAGAGGACATTTACAATTAGTTATTTTGCGGAGAATGCATCAAGATGATGGGGCGAGAAGTTCCATCAAGATGTTCGCTAATATATTTATTTCGTTTATCGGCGCTGGAATTTTGGGAATGCCTCACGCTTTTAAAGAGGTAGGAATTTAAGAGATTCTACGCGACGCTTTCTCTCGAACTTGGCCAGTGCCACGAACGCATATATTTGCACGGAGAATGAAAGATGCTGTGTGTATTTTATGATCGATGTTTATTTCCTCCTGATAGGCGGGAGTTATCGAAGGAAGCGCGATCATGGCATTGATTGGTACTCTAAGGTAGGATTTTTTTCCAACTGATGATATTTTTCTCCAAACGCTAGAAATTTCGTTGTCAAATTCGGTACATAACTTTTCAGCCATTTGTTGTAGATTAGACAGCTTTTTGAAATGGTTAGAGTGAATTTTTGATAAGGACTGTCTGTAACCATAGCAGCCATTAATTATGTTGTTAAATGTTACTATTCTCCCGCAGTCACCCATTATAACAGCTCATAAACATAACTAGGGCTTCACCTTGAACCTCTTTTTGACTTCTCTGTCCATCTTTTATCGCCTTCCTTACTTTCTGACATGACTTTCTAGGTCTACCTAAAACTACCCTTGTTTGATCAACGGTTTATTTTAACAATACCCGGCAGTTAAATACTTAAAATTTAAGCCAGAGAAAGGTTAAGAATTTATTTACAAATAACTGAAAACCCTCGAGGATCTTTATATATATGTAGGACCTGTATTACATTGAGATGGTCCAAATATTTATCAATACAGCGAGATAAATTGTATTAAGTAAATATGAATTTTTAGTACTGGCCTAATGAGCCACTGACAGAAATATTGTTCAATGCCATTTGTCACTTATTTTATATGTGAGTGAGTGAAAAAAAAAAAAATTGAAAGTACATGTATTGCTTAAGCCCAGTTCAGACATCGTGCTTCTGCCATGCTGAACTTAATTCAGGAATTAGGTGCTACAATACATGGCAGAAGTATGGTGTCTGAATCAAACTTTTGAATTAAATTCAGCAAGCAATTTGGTCTGACAAGCGTTGCAGTGGTATATGACTCTGGCACAGCAGTGATTCAGATGTCATACCCCTGCTGTGCCAAACAAAATTCATAAATTATAGCAATATATCTTAGTGGAATTATGTTACCATGGGGGAATCACAAGAACAATTCTCCTTTGTGCAGAGGGTGTTTCAGTAAAAGCTGTGTTTTGCATGACATTCCCAACATCTGAATCAGGGTTGTGCATCTGCTGTGCTATAGTTGAACCTAATTGCAATCAAGTTCAACACCACAGAAGCACAACATCTGAACTAGGCCTTAGAGCAGGTGTCTTCAACTCAAAGTATACTCTTTCCATGTGAAGATATTGCTGCAATAATATTTCATTGAAAATATAATTTTAGACAAGTTTGGAGGTGCCAATCACTCTGAAGTTATATCTCGAGTTGTAGGGTTTTTGTTGACGTTGACGCAAGTTTTTCATACTGTTATTTTCTATTTTCCACCTTTCCAGAGTAATTCTTCCCTTTAATTCAACACATGAGCTCTATTGTAATAGCTTTGCCCTTGATTGATAAGTTTTACTTATTGACTGAGTGGGAGGGCTGCAAGGGAAAATATTTGGCTTAAGGTTATGACTTATGGACCAAGTGCAAGGAATGTCCGTGAGTCATGAACAAGAGTGGGGGCTGACAGACAAGTCATTATATTATAATGATAAATGGCTATATTTTTTCTCTCTTTTGTAGTCATTCATGCTGTTGCTCACTGAAAATTCATATTTTGCTTCTTTCAGTGTAAAAGCAATGCTATTGATTATTGACTGCAAGACAAAGTTAACATGGAAGAAAAGGGATCATGTTAAGGGAGCTGTAATTTCAGTGGATGGAAAGGTTGCTTCAGAGGAGAAGGAATTATTAAAGGCAGCTGAAAGTGGAGAAGTAACAGACAAAGTAATGGAAGATGGGGTGGATGATCTCCTAGTTAGTATTGATAAAATCATGGCTTTTGTTACTTTGATGCCAACCCACTCCATGGCATCAGTCTCCCAGATGGTGTGTTGTTGCTTGTGGGAAGTATGGAGATCTGGTACTGAGTGTGCCTGAATCTGGAAGGGGAGGTCTGGGTTAAAGCTCTGGCAAGGTCATTGTGGGGGGAAGTTGAACAAGACATTTCACTCTTCCCAGTACCTCCTTGAACCTTGAATGCATGTGGTACCAGAAAACTGTCAAGGAACTATAATCATCAGGGGTTTACTACTTGGCAGCAGATTCAGAGGAGGAGGTTTCAGGTGGCAGGACTTCACCCCCATCAGACCTTTGGGTTCCTTCATTTCTTGCCTGACATAAAAAATTTTTAGAGAAAGATGTTTTTTGTCTTGTCGCTATCATGGGACAAAGACATGTCCCATGCTTGCGACAAAACAAAAACATCTTTCTTTATTTCTTTACCAAGCTCAAAACTTACCATCTCTCCTATTATAATTATGTAGGTTTTATTGTGGAAAAAAAATGCATTTTCTGTATCAAAGTTTTGCACCTCCTTCCTACCAAAAACTCCTGGATCTGCCCCTGCTTCTGATAGACTTGTACCCTATCTTTGAAGGTTGGCAATACTCCTGGTGGCTTTATGGTTTAAAATGGGATTGATACCTTGTCTGGGATGAATAGGCTAGAGGAATCCTAAGATTTGGCTATGCTATAACTTGATCTTGCTGGTGGGTTTAGGGGAAGTAAGCAACTTTATACCATCTGAGAGTCAGATCTACACTTTGCATTCCAATCCATGTGTATAATAATCTGTATTTATTTGATATTGATTGTAACAATCTTGACCATGACAATGAACCCTAACCTTTGAAAGTAACAAAAGTCCAGCTAATGATACTGATTACAGTTGACAATTGACTGTTAAAGTTATACAGCTTTTCCTTAAATTCATGATAGATTCTATTCTTTGAAGGCAGAATGTCTGTGCTAATGTTAATATTGATCTTAAACAAATATTATCAAACTCTGAAAACCATTAACACCTGAGATTTTTTGGAAGTATCAAATGAATGTGTTTTAACCAATCACACAGGAGATCAGAACAGTTATCAATTCTTTTGTACCTTAAACTGGCATGCAGGACCAAGACATAATTTCTCCTTACAATATTAATACAATATCAAGCCAATAAGTGATGAGAATGAAGAAAAATATCAATTAGGCGATAAGTAGTTGATTCAACATCAAATTCTCAGAACTAACGTCATAAGAATTGTATTGCAGACAGTAAGGAGAATTACTAATGAGATCGTGGGAGTTAAAGGGTTAAGGGCTTTTTTGTCATATAATGATGAAACAGATTTAACCACTGAACAATCGCAAACTCATTTCAAACTCTAACACACTTAATATACCTAATAACTGATTATTAAATAATATATGTCAAAATTTTGGCATGTTATAGGACAGAGGTATTGTAGTCTGCCCCTGTCAAGGTTGTTTGGGAAATGGGAACATATAGAATTACATTTGAGGAGGAAGAGGAAAAGGAATGACGAGCTTAACAATGTTACTCAAGTTATTGTGTATGAGAGGATAGGTCTGTTAAAAGTAAAAATGTGGAATACTATTTTAGTTGCAGAGTGCAGCCCATGAGATTGATTATGGAGATCTTGGTGAGTGACTCTGACCAGCACTTTGTTTGACCTCACTAAAGAGGACATATTTGGAGAAGGGCTTTTGCAAAAACTTCAAGGGCTTCTATAATTAACAGAATTCACTGTCGGCATCCTATGAAATGTATAGAGAACAGTATGGAGGATATACATACTGGTGTTAGGGTGTCAAGAGTTAAACATCAGTGTAGAATGCATTTAAGTTCTTTGCTGAGTTGTTCCCATTTATTCAGTGTGACTCTTTGTCCTTCCTTGGCTCTCTGTTTGTTTGTTTGTTGTTGCTGTTGTTTTTGTTTGTTTGTTTGTTTGTTTTTACATGTGTATAGGCAGCTGCTTGATACCAAACTAACACAACTCTGTTTTTGTTTCTTCAGGTTTTCATGCATTGGGAAATTCTGGCAGAGCCTTGGTTGATACAAGCATAGTAATTTCTCAGATAGGTAATTTTATGATTTTACAGAACAAATTGATTTGTATTTAGAACTTTTAATACATTAAAGTTTAAGCCATTGTTATTTTACTTAATTAGTTTTCCCATGATGGTTGGGTCACTAAACCCTCTGACACCTAAGAGTGACCAGCATCTAATTTCTCCTTACAATATCACCCCTGAATCACACATTAAGGTTAAGAGAATGAAGGAAATGATTAACAAGTAAACAAGCTTTTGATTGTGAAACAAATTCTCCTTGTCAGCACATTGAGAAATGTATAGAGAACAGTATGGAGAATATGCATACTGATGTTAGGGTGTAAAGGGCCAAGAGTGTTGATGGCAAATGTGCTGGAAAGCCACCAAGTACTGAGTGCCAACTGTTTGTCTCAACAGGGTTTTCTTGTGCATATTTAATCTTTATCTCTGATACTCTTAACAACATGTTGCCAGTTCTCAGCAAGTGAGTTGTCAGTTTTTCATTTCTTTCTTATTTTTCTCGAGACTGTCAGTGTAGATGAAATAATCAACTTTTTGCTCGTGATTTTCATCTAACAATTGAAATTAAAATTTTGCTGCTTGAGCTCAGGGTATTGGATGTTTGTTGTCACCAGAGTAATGGATTTACCAAAAAAATTGTTTTATTTTTCTGAAGGTGTACACTGTAAATCATTTAACACAAAAATAGATTTCAATAACAAAGGAAACTATTGGATTACATGGACCAGATACTAAGCAACTGTGGTTGTTCAGTGAAATGTGGTTTTAATTAGTGCCATCAAGTTGATGAATAAAGCACTTTATTTTCTATCAAAGTACAGTGACATGCAGACACAATTGATTGCCATGGCACCTTGATCTAACCCAAAAAATTGTAACCAGATAAATGAGTATAAAATGTGGCAAAGTAACGGTTAGGATGCTGGATTCTGTATAAAGGTTTATTTTTTAGGGTCTGAGGGGGGTACATATTTGAAACTTATGAATAATTTTTAATTAATAATTGTTTTTGTCTTTGTTTGTTTGTGTTTCAGACACCAGTATTTAATGACTCTACTACCTCCACTTGCAGTTTTGGTAAACTTCAGACATTTAAAGAAGTTAGCTATATTCAGGTGTGTCTTGTTAATCTAAATATCTAGTCATCATTAACAAGTGAGATAGATTTTATTGTCCTTTTTTTGTTACTTGTTATTAGTAATAAATGGATGTTTGTATTAAGTATCTATTATTTGTAAGTTATGTTAAGCTGTTAAAATTTTTTGTTTCTTGTGCAGTCTTTTTGCAGATTTTGCCAATGTTTTTGCCTACTGTGTAGTCTTTTGGTTTGATTTTGCACACTTTGAGAAAGTAAAGTAAGTATTAAGCCTTTAATCTTTAATAGTGATAAGCATCAAATTTCTTCCAGTGGTATCTCAGTATCTAAATCAAACAGTAAGGTCATGAGAAATTAAGGAAATGATCATTAACTCAAGACACTTTTGATTGTTTAACAAATTCTCCTTCTAAGTAGCATAGGAAATGTGTAGAAAACAGTATGGGGAACTTGTATACTGATGTTATGGTGTGAAGGGTTAACCTCATAAAAAGTTTTTTGTACTTTCAGAAGACTTGCAAAACTTATGTTTTTTTTGTGTAAGGGGAAGGCTGCTTGCTAAGATTCTGCTAAGAGGTTTTGCTAATAAATGAAACCCTCAATTGTACAAATTCTATTTTTTCATTTATGAAGTGCTATGTTGTTACATTTTTAGGATTCACCCACAAATTGCTAGGATAAGTGGCCTACCATTTTTCTTAGGAGTGGCAATATATTGTTATGAGGTAAGCATTATTGTGATGGTGATACAGACATTCCCAACGAGAAACTTTGTGTAACAATAATAATCTGGTGATTGTTGTTTGTAGGGGGCAGGATTAATATTGTCATTGGAAGCATCCTGTGCAAGAGATTCACGAGATAAATTTAGATCGTAAGTCTTAAATTATAATTAAAATTGAGTTAAAAAAGGCCTTTTATTTGTTTTAATTTTATTTTGTTTTGTAATTTGATTATGAAGGTTGATATTTAGTTTCATGTTTTTCTCTCCAGAGTATTTAAGCTGACATTGTTTCTAGTTACAACACTGTATATTGCATTTGGTGCCTGTGGTTACCTGGTAAGCATCTTTCCCTTTTTGTGTTTTAAATATTTATCACCATTTAGTAACAACAGCTTTTAATCTAAAACAGAAAATTTATATTTTTTTACTGGTTAATAAATACTGTACCAAGTTTTATGATGACCAACAAAGGAGCTCTTGATGGTTAAACAAACTCTCCTCGTCAACCTCTAGAGAAATGTACTAAGAAATGTATGGAGAATATGCATACTGATGTTAGGGTGTAAATGGTTAATTTGACAATTAAAAACTCTTTTTATCCAATCCCTGGTGAGTGAGTGACCATCTAAAAGTGGCAGTGGACCCAGTGTATTAGAACAGGAGACTTAGTTCCTGAGTGTGTTTCTTGAAATCACTGGCACCTCTGAACTAACTGAGGTTTTCCTTTCTTTTCAGTCTTTTGGAGAAAACACACAGCAAATGATCACTCTAAATTTACCTCTTGGTAAGAAAGAAAGCTGCAAATTGCATTAATAATTACCACTTCAAAGTCATGCTATTTCAAAAAATTTCCAGAGTACTGCACTGGTTGCAATGGAGCCAGTGCAGCCAGTGCAGCCAAATCTCATCTCACTTTTCCTTGTAAATTTTGCAGATGAGATCAATCAGTTTATTATTAACCCTTTAACCCTTAAGAGTTACTGGCATCTAATTTCTCCTTACAATATCACCCCTGAATCAAACATTAAGGTTGTGAGAATAAGGGAAATGATCACCAACAGAAGAACTCTTGACTGTTAAACAAATTCTCCTTTTAAAAAACCTTAAAAAAATGTATAGAGAACAGTATGGAGAATATGCATACTGATATTAGGGTGTGAAGGGTTAAAAACTATAACAATTTTGTAGGTTATGCATTAAATGTGCTTAAAGTTCATCTTGACTTTAGACGTGTGTCGTCTTATTGTTTGCTCTTGGCTTTAGAGTAAGTATCTTCAAACTAGATGGTTTATCTGTTTTGAATTCTTATCAATCAGCTTTGTTGCTGTCTTTCTAGGTCCATTTCCTGCTGTAGTTCAACTTTGTCTTTGTTTCTCATTATTTTTTACTTACCCAAGTAAGTGTGTACTTTGTTTTATTTTAATTAATTTTTTTCCTTTTTTGCATTTTATTAAAATCTTAAGGAGTTTACATCAAGTTTTTAACTTGTATGCGGTTGATTTGCAGTTATGATGTTCCCTGTAGTGCTATTATTAGAGAAGAAACTTCTTCCAGATGGAGGGAAAAGCAGCTACTACCAAGGAGTAAATATTATATTTGGTTCTGTCTATTTGCTGAGATTTTACACGATGTTCAATTCCCAATATTTTGATTTAGCTAGATTCTCAGTTCTGGTGGAGATTATTTGAATGTATTAGAAAAGTGAAATTTAGGCTGTTTAGAGCTAAATGAAAAACATCCTTGATTTCAATTTTTGGCCAAAAAAAAAATTAAAAAGCAAAATAATCAAAAAAGCTTTTTTGATGAGGTCTTCCATTTTTTTTCTCCTTCACAGGTGTTGTTTGGTGGTTAAGAGTCATATAAGTTACTAGATTCTAAGATTTTGTTGTGTGTTTTATTCTCTGCAGACTGTTTTACGAGCCTGTGTTGTAGTACTTTCCGGCATTGTTGTGCTTGTGATTCCAAACTTCTCCACACTCATGGCATTCTTTGGATCTAGCTGTTGTACTCTGTTAGGATTTGTTTTACCTGGAATATTTCATCTACGAATTTTTGAAGGGTAAGTTTATTAAGAAATATCATTTGCCAAACTTTGGTTGGCACAGATTGTGATTACAGCCTTCAGCTGCAGGTTTACTTAGTTTTTAAGATAAGGGTCATCGAGCCTAGTTTGGATGTATTATGCGTTGTTTAAAAATAGTGGTGAAGAAAAATGTCTTTTTTGTGTGAGCCTTCAAAAGCTATGCCCATGTAAGAATCAAATGGGACGTGGAGGCTCTGCTCTCAAAAATTGGGGATGTGTAGGTCTTCAAAGCTTTCACTAAAGCAAAAATGCCAGATGCCAAAAGAAAAAATAGTTAGCCACCTAGGGGATTTGAACTTGGCAAGAGCATATTCCTGTATTTATTAAACCTTTTTAAAAACTCCTTAGATCTGATTGTGTCTCACCCCTCTAACTGCTTCGGTTTTCCTTTTAAATTATTTCCAAGAATTTGCTGTTAGATCAATATAACAACTTCTACCTGATAAGTTTCATTATTCTCATTACCTGTCTGCTGGATAATGTATGGATATTGTAGGGAGAAGTTACATGTTCATCACTTCTGGGAGTTAAGGGGTGAATTTGTTTATTTGTGTGTTTATTTCACTTTGTCAATAACTGCATTTACTTTCTTCTTCAGGCATCTCACCAAAGGAGAATGGTTTATTGACATATTAATCATATTTCTTGGATTAGTTGGGTAAGGGTTAATTTGATGTCACATACTCTTGAAATAAGTTATCTTCTGTTTATAGAGACTGCATCTGACAACTAATTCCCTGTGATGTTGAGTTTCAAGTCGAAAACTTCTCAATCTCAAATAATTCTACTCCACTGTGTCTAAACAGTCGCACATAGTTAATTTTCAAGCAACCCACCTCATGGTTTCCATTTTTGTTGTCATTGATAGTGGCCCTGTTCATTAACATTTTTTTGCTAAATATTTCTTCGACTAATAGTTATTTATATTCCAGTGCTGTTATAGGAACAAGAGATGCTCTTTTAAGGCTGCTGTCTGGCTCCTGACTCTGTAGTGCTTTATCTGGGACATAAAACAGAGTTTTTGTTTATATGTTTTGATAACTTATTCATCAAAAGCCAAACCAACAAGAAAATAGGATGAAATAATTTTAAAAAAGAGGACCAATAGAAATGTGAGTTAAAAATAAGATATAACAGAGTTTATTTAAGAACAATATTAAAACTTTGTAACATTTTCCTATTGCAATGAAAGTATATATAAATCCTAAATGAAACTCTTAAAGTCAAATTTCAGTTGTTCAGAACTGCAGTTTAATTGAGTCTCCTAGTATATAACTAACTTTTAAACATAATTGTTAGTTAGAAGATGTTTATACAATTAAGAGATTATTATTTTTAGAAAAAAACTTGCAATTTTAGCTTTGATTGAAATCAACCCTTTAACTCCCAGATCTGATAGTCAATTCTCCCCACCAGCTACAACATATTTCCTTTTAAATTAGTTGCAAGAATTTGGTGTTAGATCAAGACAACAACTTCTATTTGATATGTTTGAGTATTTTCATTACCTGTTTGGTGGATAATGTATGGATATTGCAGGGAGAAGATAGATGTTAATCACTTCTGGGAGTTAAAGGGTTATTATTGATTTTAAATGTGGTTTTTCTTTAAGTGTGTTAGCTAGGAGGGTGGGGTGGGAAGCTGTGTCATTCTTTTTTCAGTTGGGTGGGATACTGTATATACCCGTAATTCAAAATAACTATTACAAAACAAGTGATAGGTCATTTAAGAGATATTTCGCCCTGTACAGTTATTTTTCCAAGTAATAAGCGGGAGTACTTGACAACACAAAGAGGGCTAAATTATATTTTTCAAATTGATAAATAAATGTAATTTAAAAAGAAGGTACAATTTTCACATGTTGTACTGACGAAGGACATGCGTTAAAATATCATGCGAAAAAACATTTTCAGGCTTTTTTTCCCTTTTTTTCTTCTGAGGAATACTAAGAAAGCATTGCTTTCCTGTTCGGAAATCATATTTCATAAGGCAAGGGTTTATTTTTCTTAAAGAACTCATTAACAAGCTTATTAGTAGCCAAATGACTGCCTGGATATCATGTAACAAGCCGGAGCGGAGATGGGAAGAGGGGAGGGGAAGAGTAGAGGGCCGGCATCGTTTATTTACCACGTGTTATTTTGTAGAAAAGGAGGTGGTTTTTATTGTAAAGTTAATGAATTTTTGTGTACGTGAACGAATAGTAAATTAAATGCAAACGTAAAATTCCGTCCGTTGTATAGAAGTTTTAGCGTTTAGGCGTAAAAGGTCGAGGGAAAGTCTGCTGTCGGGTCGAATGGTCTACATTCCTGGGACATATCCCGGTATCCGTGGGGGTTACTGACAAGGGGTATTGCTATCCCTCTCACGCACCCCTAAATGAGAAGCTAAACCATAAGCTTCCTGTCAGCATTCTGTAAGATTTATTTTGCATTACGCCAGTGCTAAGTAATCTTTCTGGGTAGAGTGAAGTATTATTGGAGTAAGTTACCTTGCTCACGCACACGACACAAGTACCCGGGTGCGGAATCTCACCCCCTCTCCCAATCCCCTGTAATTACCTCCTTCTCCTTCCCCCCCCCCTTCTCATCCCGAACCCCCCTCCACCCCTCTTTACAGAAAGACAGATTCTGCCCAACTTGAATGAAGATAAGCTGGTTTACCTCTTTGGGACGTGTTTTATGAATGAAAAGACTTTAGACCCCAGAAGGAGACTACGTGCTAATGGTTTATCGACCTTTATCGTTACATCTTATCGAAGGAAGAATATTATACCGCCGGATTGAGTCGATAATATGGTCAACACCGGTAAGTATTTTATGCATGATTTAAAGGGATGGATTTTTGCTCTGACTTGATAAAAATTCGCCCTTGTAACTGATTTAAACTACAACTTTGAATGTGGTTGGCTTATTGAAAGTGCGACAACAACTTGGCAATTGCATCAGTGGAAAAAAGGAGCTTTTTTTAAAACGATAGCAATCGAGGAAAGTGTAATTTTCATGACTGAATACAAAACAAGTTTTAAATGTTTATTTTTTTCATTTCCTTTTTAATGATTTCTATTTGCACTATTTGTAACTTCCCTTCAACGTTCAAACATTGCGGGAAATTGCGAACGACTTCTTATTTTAAATGGGCCTTTATCGGAATAAACATATCGAATGACAGTTCAGTGCGGCACGTTTACAGCGGGAAGTGAAACAGACTTTGAACAAGAATATGAGACTTAACGAGTAAGCACCTTGAAATGGTTGCTTCACAAGAGTCTCTGGTACAACTGAAGAGATTGTTATAGGCCGCTGAAATCACTTTGGTGAAGTGGGAAAACAGAAAGCGAGGTTTCCACGAAGTTGAAATCCCACTGAGAAAAAGGAAATATGTTTTTCATTAATTAAAGTTACGTTGACTACTGCAGAGTAGAAAGACCCCATTTTTTTCAAATTGATGCAGCTGAGAACTGACAAGCGGTGTTCAAGCGGCTTTGAAATAATAAAAAAAAATTTTTTTTTTAATTTCCCCAAGGAAATGTTTTGTTTATCACATAGGAACTAGATATGGTAATGAACTGCAACTTGTTTTTCATACATTGCGTTTCATTTCGCTCACACTGTGATAACTGCTGATAGTTTTAATCAGTTTCGAGACAAATCCATTCTTAATTTACTGTAAAAACTGTGTGTGTTCACGATTGGCTATATGACTTCCATTTGTGTTCGTGACTCCAATTCATTTTTCTAACGTCTTGTGTTCGTTATAGTGAGCAAACAGTTTTTTCCTTCGCCTAAATCACAAAGAAAACTAATTCAAGCTTTTTTAAAATGTCAAAAGTTCGCTAGGTGCGTTTTCGACTTTGTCACTGATAATTTGACGAACTGTTTGTTTTTTAGTCAATTTCGTGATTCTTTTATGTCAAGAACATCATACGCAAATGAAGAAGTTTCTTTTGTCTGCATTCTTTTGTTAGTCACGTACAAAAAATGCAAGCCGACTATATCTATTATGAGGCCAGTTGTTAATTCTTCAATTCTCAGCTGAATAGTCAAACTGAAGAACACCTTCAACGTTGGCCCACGAGGCAAAAAGTATTTTCATGGAAACAAACTTCACAGAAGTCTGTATATTTGTCGTTCTATATGCCATTGTGGTTCTGGCTGGTTTACCTGGAAACGTTCTCTTTATTACCGTGGTAAAACGAACTCGTTCAATGCATACAACGACAAACTTCATTCTCGGAAACATCGCCGTTGCCGATGTAATCACTCTTCTGTTTTGTTTTCCCGGGGTGCTGTTGCAGTTTGCAGTGGACCATCATCCAAGAAACGTCTTTGGAAGTTTTCTTTGCAAGTTTGTCACTATGCATCAAATTGCTGGTGTAACTTTGTTAGTGTCTGGCCTAAGTTTGACACTGATATCCATCGACAGACATAACGCTCTGCTTCAGCCAATGAATACTAAGCTTCGCCTACGAAAGAAACAACTTTATTTAGCTGTTAGTCTAATCTGGATTTTCTCAATCGCCTTTGTTTTGCCCCTGTTTGTCGAACAGAAATACGTCGATGAAGTAAAGAGCTGCCACATGGACTGGAAACCCCCCGTTTCGAAGGCTTACTGGGGGTCTTTGGCAGGACTCACTCTCCTTTCGTGGCTTGTAATGTTCGTTTTTTATTTTCGCATTGTTAGTGGAATCTTGCGCGGGGATATTTTATCATCCAGCCCAAATCAAGGCGAAAACGTCAAAGAAAAGGATATCCAAAGCAAGAAAAAGATTGTCAAACTTTTGATAACTATCACTGTTTTATTTATAGTGTGTTTTTTGCCATTCGCTTTAGTCTCAGCCATAAATGTTTCATCACACAGTTTGTTTTACAAAGTTTCCTATTTCTTGGTGTACTGTAGCTGTTCTCTAAATCCAGTGGTTTACGCATTTCAAAGTTCAAACTACAGAACAGGCATAAGGTGTCTCTGTGCTAAGAGACAAACAATGCATATTGTGAATTCTGGGAACGATGTCTTAACCAGGTAGCCTTGATAAGCCGCCGAATGCCGACATTGATTTTGCAAATTCCTTTGACATAGAACAATGAAAAAAATATATTAAAACACTGTTATTAACACAGTAATAAACTGACTGTCGTAAATAAAATACACCTGAATTCACACTATTACCACAGTCTCAGTTTTCGGTCTTCATCCGTATTTTCATTAGTAACAGACCATACTTTCTATCTGTTTACCAGCATGATATTCCATGCATGTTTTCCTAACATCCCAAGTGGGTTATTACGCGCGCCGGTAGCCCTTTAAAAAGTGTAGTATATTGCATTTATAAAAGAAACTTCAATTTTGGAATGGGTTTAGCAGTTAAACGATGGGTTTCTGTCTGACCAATCAGGGGCCTTGTAGTATCTCAGGTATTTTATGAATCCCCCCATAAGAAAATTTCCTGTCTTATAATTTTTGAAACGCGCATGGATCACAAGAGAGGGTGGAATGGTGCGAAGTGAGAAAAGTACCCCCTCACTCCCGCTGAGAGGCTGTGATGTAAATTACATCACAGCCTTGTTAGCGTAGAAAGGGGTAAGTTTCTAAAGAAACTGTGGTGCTGCGTCGGTGGGAGAGTATAACAGGTAATTTAGTGTTAACAACTGAGTTGAAAACGGAAATTGGCCACCGTAAAGAGTAAAAAAGCTGACGTTTCGAGCGTTAGCCCTTCGTCAGAGCGATTTGTGAAGGGCTAACGCTCGAAACGTAAGCTTTTTTACTCTTTATGGTGCCCAATTTACGTCTTCAACTCAGTTGTTAACACTAAATTACCTTTTGTTAAAGTGTTTGTTTGTTAGTTGTTTTTGTTCGCTCCATACCTCAGACATGAAACATTGTATATAGCAAGGCCAATCTACCTATTCAGTCAACTGAAAACAGATCAATACAGAAAGAGCCTGTTGTTGGACTTCTGCGCAGTCGTATTTACTATAAGTACGTTCAAGTTGAACTCTGCACAGATACAGCCCTAGGGAGGGGAGGTGGGGAGCGCAAGGTTATGTGAGAGAATAGGGCTAAACTAATGTCCATCGAGTTACCATTAGTAATGGGGATTTGGAACGCACTTTTGGTTGTGGCCTCCATTGTAGTAGTTTTAACAGCTGGGATAAAAATTGTGACTTCATCGAGTTGGTACAAAAAACGTTTTGCTCAAAGCCAAAACGAATGGGTAAATTTAACCAGAAGAGTTTTTGATCCCCTGAAACGAAAGCTTTTCTCAGACCTTGAGCAGCACCTGAGATCAATGGAAGGCGATGTTTTGGAAATAGGGATCGGTCCAGGTTCAAACTTCGATTATTATCCCCAAGGTACCTCACTTATCGCTGTTGACTCGAACCCACACGTCGAAGAATCTCTCAAGAGAAACTTAGAGAAAGCTGGCAGAAAAATTTACCTTAAAAAATTTGTGGCTGCTTCGGCGGGGGACATGAGTTGTAAGGGAGAAATCGGTGTAGAAGACAATTCTGTCGCCGCTGTTGTTTGTGCGAAGCTGTTGTGTAACCTCTCTGATCTTCAGATGAGGAAAACCATCGCAGAAGTGAAGAGAGTTTTGATACCTGTGAGTCTTTGCGTTGTTGTGTTCAGTGTGGAAATATGTTAGGGGTGGGAGGGGAGGGGGAGTGGAGATGGGAGGGTATGTGTCAACCAGTAATATATGATTTTTTTCCAATAGAACGAAACAGTATTGTGGGTATCAAGATAGTTAATGATAAATATTTGTCACAGCTTTCATTTAAAGATGGTAATTGTTCTCAGTGGCAAACATACTGCTAAAACTTTGGGCCTTGTTAAATAGTATCATTTTACATATAATTCAAATCATATATGATATGTCTAAAACATACTGTGACAGAAGGCAAACCAGTAAGCTCTTTACAAGCCCTGTCAAGCGGTTGAACTTAGGAACACTAAGAAACAAATCTATCATTCTAACTACACTTACATGAGACATTTAATGTGAAAAGTTTATTTAGGATGAGTCAGTCAGTTTTCTAGTATATGCATCCTGATACAATCTGAGGAAAGGGTAAACTAACAAAAAAAAATGATTGTAATGACATTTTGCAGGGAGTTGGAATACCAAAAACTACAACAAATACAGAAAAGAAAGTGGTCGAACATAAGACTGATGAACTTAGAATCAATTTTCCTGTCAAATGCCTGAATAATCCGAAACTTCCATGATGCCATGCAAAACTCTTCAATGTGCCATCAGAATGTCAATTTCTGAATAATTCGTTCCCATGGCACTCAAATGTCAGAAATTACATGTGTGGCCAGTGTGTGACTTGAACCTGGGACCTGGGGATTATGAGTCTGCATGATGCTCTCAGTGCTTAGCAACCCTGCTTATTCCTTAAGTTGACCTATCCTAATAAAGTTTGATGTGCCTGAGAGCATTTCTAGCCTTGTTAACAGGGATGGCTGGGGAAGGGGTGGCAGGATTGGTCACCACAGAGACCTGTACCCAACAGTTTGCATTGTAAGGCAGGAACAGTGGTAGATCAATACCTTGGCACAAATTTTTTTGAGTATTTTAGAGGTGCCACCCATGGTGTGAAGAGGATGGCAGGTGCACCATGCCGGAAACTGAGTCCAAACTAAATACCTTGACCTAAGGAAATTAAAAATAAGTGGGTCATCAAGGCCCTGTATTTAAGGTCCCTATCCTAGATATGCCACTGCAGATGGTTATAAAAAGGACACTGTATCAAAACTGGAACTGGTTTTGTGGATTCGAATGTTCCTGGCTCAGATATATCATACTCATTTTAGTTGGTCTTAAAACAAATCATTCTGTTTTGCTTTGGTTATTTGTTTGTTTATTGACTTTTTCTTTTTTCATTTAATGGCCACAATTGATGAATGAAAATTTTGCTAATAAATTTTTGTGTATTTTTCAGGGTGGCAGATTTTATTTTCTGGAGCATGTTGCTGGTAAGTGTTAAGACCTCAGGAACAGTTTTTAAGTTGAACATTTTAATGTTTGAATTACCCCCTTACAAAACACTAAGATTTTTCACTTCTCCGTTTTGTGATAGCTAAGCCATGGACATGCCAATACTTTCTTCAACATCTTGTCACCAAATTGCGCATATGGCCTTCATTGTATGATGGATGCTGCTGTAATCAAAACACTCTGTCCTACATACACAATGGTGGCTTCAAATGGGTGCAGTCTGAAAAGATCCAGGCAAATTGTTCACAAGAAATGTTTTCTACACCAAACAGTATATATTCAATATGGCGAGCAAGATTGATCTTGTATTTTGTGAATATATGGTTAGTTGGCCTTGCAGAAAAGGGGCAATTGTCTGAAGAGAAAAAAAAATTGTGACATAAACAAGTTGGATTGTGAATGAATATTCTGAAGGCTACTTTTGAAAGAAGAGGGAATGAACGGTTGGAAGGACTATAACAAGGAAGAAAGAAAATAAGGAACGTTGAATTTAACATTAGATTCTCGAGCTCTATTTTAGTGGTAAGGAGTTTTAGCAGAACTCTTTATTACTGCTTTCCTTTCCTTTTACGTGATTGATTGTGAATATTTCTCTGGATTCAATCCCACTTTGTGCCAAATTATCAGCATAACAGTAATTCCTCCTTCTCAAAACTGTATTTGTCGTAGAAAATTTGTTACTGTGGTACATGTAAAATTAACGTTTGGTCTCATTAAAAATTTACTGCTTAACAAGACTGACAGCTTTTGTGCAAACAACTTTCTGTTATGTCTTTAACTTCTTTTTGCTTTCACGTTCATCAATTTGCAATGATATTGTGGTGTTTTCTTCTGGAATTTGGGAGGGTTTTTATTAACTCTGTAAAGTAGAATCCTCAGTCCCGTAGTTCTTCGGACCATTCTAAATTTTTTCTATTATATTCTAAACTCTCCCCAGGGATCCCAATTAGTTGAGATAAAAAAGCGTGGTTTGACTAATCCTGCTTAAATTATTCGACAAAGCTCACTTGGCACTTCGAAAGGTAATCTGATCGCTTAAAAAACGACTCTCTGTCAATTGGTGAGTACATTTTTACTGAACAAGTAAGCACGTGCTACTACATATGTGGGCTGTCAAAACAGGTTATTGCATCTTGTTCTCCTGCTCATGATCATCGGGTGGATAGTTTAAGTAACGGCGTGAATCGAATTCATGGCGCCGTGTTTTAAGTTTTCAAAAGTATACAATCTTACGGAAATCTTGTCAGTCTCGTTGAGTGACGAACCATTATTAAGATCAGAGAAAAGCCTTGCTCTGAAGTAAAGATCTTAAATTCGACTAGTCGAAGAGATGGCTGAATTTTCGGCAACTTAGAGAGGAATATAAATATTATGTTTTACATGAAATTTAAAACTCAAAACAATTACTCAATATATAGCAACAGAATTTCGTGGCTACTTTCAGAGTAATATTTTGTATATGAAATTAAATTGGGGGTCAGGACACTTTTGAAACCACTTGCAACGTCAATTATTCCACTTGGCAAAATTTATGTTTCCTAGACAGACGACTACACCCCATTTATACTCCTGGGTAACAGCTTTGCTAAAGCTAAATAACACAGTACAGTGCATCAGGGGGATGATGGGGGGGGGGGGGGGGGGGGGGTGGGGTGGGAAGGGTGTTAAAGAAAATTTGGTTTCATCAGCTGGGTTGATAATGTAAATTGGCCACCATAGAGAGTTTCTATAAAGCTGATGTTTCAAACATTATCCCTTTGTCATTTGTGTTAGAGTCTAAAATTAGCATGATCAACGCAGGTGATAAAACCTAATTATCCTAGAACTTTTGCCATTTATTCTGGGTTCTACCAGATTCGATTTTTCTTGGAGAGTAATTTCTTTCTTTCTTACTCTCTTCCTCATCAATAGAGGGATGCATTCTGAAAAGTTGGCAGTTATTGAAGTCAAGGTGAACTTCTTGTCTTGTCAGGCACTGGAAGATATCAGCGCGGGGTCTTTTTTAACTGATCTCTGGGGTGCAGTGAAAAATTCTCCAGATTCTCACACTGTGCATGTTGAGAAAAACAAGCATGTGACTCCTGAAGGGGTTATGAAATATGTCAATCATTCTTGTGACAGCAATGCAAAATTTATCTTTGAAAAGCGCAAAGTGTCATTTTCAACCCTAAGTGACAATCATGAAGTCTGTTGGCATATGGTGGCCACTCGTAACATCAAGAAGGGCCAAGGAATCACTTTTGACTACAATCTAACAGAATATGACATGGCTGAACATTTCCAGTGCAACTGTGGTTCAGAGAAATGCCTAGGTGAAATAAAAGGCTTTAAATATTTGACACCAGAGCAACAGAAGTCCAGGGCAAGGGAGTTATCTCCAGTTGTTACTGAACTTTGGGAAGAAAATGCTTGAATTGTATAATATTTTAAATTGAATTCTGGCGCGTCAAAATACTTCAGACTAATTAAATATTTACTAACACTGATTAAATGTCTTGATTCAATAAAGAGGAAATTAAAAGTGGAATTTTTGCTCAAGGAAATAAATTATCCTCACAGGTAAGCTACACTTAACCCTTTAACTCCCATTAGTGACCAAGACAGAATTTCTCCTCACAATATCAATGCAATATCAACCAGACAAGTGATGAGAATAAAGAAAAATATCAATTTGGGGATGATTAGTTGATCCAATACTAAATTCTCTGAACTAACATTAAAAGAATTGTATGGTTGACAGTAAGGAGAATCACAAATTTGATCTGGGAGTTGAAGGGTTAAAACACTTTTACCATAGAAGCTTAAAAAATGGAGTTCCTCCCAGATTTACAAACCCTTATATCAGGGGCAATGAAATATTTTTCTGTTAATGCTTTGTTTTAGTGGAGGTCAGTCACAATTTTGATTAAAATATATCAATTTTTGACCTGTTGATGGTGAGCTCTAATTTGAGTAATCACAGAAAGCTGAAGTATTCAGGCTTCCTCGGGATTGGAACCCATGCCCCCCAGATACAATTACTAATGCTGATTGAGAAATCTATTTTTGGTCTGATTTTACATATGTTCTGTATACAACTAGTTCCCTGGTGTGCAGTGAAACTTCAATGACATCTCAGAAATAAGAGACAAAGCATACATCAGGAAAAATAGTCAATCACTTACACTTTGCAAATAGACTTTAGGTCGATTGAAAGAAGAAACAATGTAACATTATCTTCTTTCTCAAGGAAAATGTTGCCTGAATACAGAGCTGGATAGGAGAGGATTTCAGGCTACTACTTAAGTAAATAATCAGTGTTACGTTCTAAAGGGTTAGGACTTTTACCCTTTTCTTGTAGTCAGGCCAATATTCCCATGGTATGTGAACCCAAAGGTAGCCCTGCATGCTTTCATTCCTTTGAGTACTGATATTGAAGGGCTTGTAACAATGAAGTTTTCATCGTAAACGATACATGAAGTTAAACATTATGTTATTATAAAACGATAAATCCATTTTACACAACTGAGAAAGGTATTGCATTTTTTATTTTAAAATGAACCCGTCTTAAGCGAAATAAACAAACAGAGACCAGCATTTTAATATTTGGATATTAAAAAGGCACTTTTTTTTTCATACATGTGCAAGGGAAAAGTGTCAAACAACAGCAGCTGTAAACATTTTCTGTTTTGTGGAACAAATCAGTCTGTGCTCTGAGCTGAAAACTATTTCTTGGTTTTAGGCCCCTTTCAGGACTGTTAATTTACCTTGTGACTACATTATATCAGATTTATTAAACAGCAGCCTAAGCAATAACCCCTTTGCTTTCTTCAATCAATGGCCTGATTTTAAGGTGACAATTCTCAATGAAAGTGCATGAAATAGCTATTAATATACATTTTCATTGATACCTTCATTAGCCATTCCGGGATTTTGCAGGCTTTCTTTTAATACTGTCTGCCAACACTTGGCACCAAAATTACAGCAATGCTTTTAAGATCGATCCAACATCCTCCAATAAGAACAGCTTTTGATTACCGTTTTAACTTTGATTGAAAACTTAGTTCAAACATTTCTAGAGAAAAAGTGACAGGTGTATTGGAAAAATAGATTAACAGGAAGCGAAGCGAATTTTGCGAACGAAAAAATTATGTAAAAAGCTGCATATGGAGATTAAAATCAAATCTGAGAGCGGAAAAAATATCTTGAAGGATTTTTGTTTTGTAACAAATTTTAGATTAGAATCTTTATTCAACGGAGGATCAGATATAGTGTGAATCCTTTTAAGAAAACAATAAATATAAGCGGTGTAATTCATATTTGAAACAATAATTTGGTATATGGGCGTATTCTGAATGTGACTAAATTTTCAGTTGTTTCCGATGTATGTATGTTTCATGATTGCTATTAATTGACAAGGGACCACAGTCTGACGTTTAAATATTTCAAAGTAAATCTGAACGCGTTGGATTGGTTTTAAGAAAGTTTTCTTGCTTTTGATCGACCACAGCGTTTTTTTTATGGTCTTCTCTCGAGGAAAATCTTTCCGGAATGTTTCTTTTAATATTGAGGATTTTTGTTATTTCAGAAGCGTTTACTTTGCTTCGAGGTAAGTACAGCTTTTCCGATGAATCAATACATAGTCCTACTCAATTTCAACTTATGTTACTTTGATAACTTAACTGCTAGTTTGAATGCTTCTTTTTTTATAATGACGACGCTAAATAAAATCTCAAGACAATCATGTTGAGAAATTTACCCATCCGTTACTCGTTAACCATTACTTTAAAAGCACAAGTGGGTTCGAATCGTTGGTATCCAAATATTAAAATGCTGGTCTCTGTTTGTTTATTTCGCTTAAGACGGGTTCATTTTAAAATAAAAAATGCAATACCTTTCTCAGTTGTGTAAAATGGATTTATCGTTTTATAATAACATAATGTTTAACTTCATGTATCGTTTACGATGAAAACTTCATTGTTACAAGCCCTTCAATATCAGTTTCGGGTACCCATCATTCCATCAAGACTTCTTCAACTTATGAATTTAATCCCTTTCCCTTCTGTGTTTGTTAGCTTCTGGTTCAGACTTGTGTCCTCTTATCTTCTTATTTAATGACCTTTGCATGTAAATGAAAGCCACTTTCAGGAAATTTTGTAGTAAGGTTCTTCAAGCGCAATACATGTATTTATGGTTGAAGTCGTGTAAAGAATTTTTTTTCAGTACAAGGGAACAAAAAACGGAAAACACAAACAAACATTCAAATATTATTTATTTTTGATGTTATCCTTGAAATGTTAAATCTTATTGACGTTGATATATTTTCGCTCACGCTTCAAAATAAACTGTGAAGTTTTTCCGTTTGGGACTTCACTGGGTCAAAGTTTCATCCAATCAGGGAAGTTAAAAAATCCAGATTTTTTTTCGTTGACTCATGAACTGGTCCAAGTTTTTCTTTTTCTTACTGGTTGCAAAATTATTGAAATATATATTGATTGACTTGATATTGTTGCTGCTTTGTTTCAAATCGATCGATTTATCGGTCGTCATTGATTTTAAAACGGTTTAAATGATGTTATATTAAACAATTATTCACGAAGTGAAGTTACATTGTGGTGGAAATTTACCTCGCTGCTTTGCGGCTCGGAAGAAACCCACCACTTTCACCGACACTTAGTAAGATAATTGTTACAAAATACATTACACATGAGCCAAAAGAGTAGTTTATTTCCGACAGTATACTGAATATCAAACTCTTGATGCGGGAATTTTGTCTCTTTGGTTGTTCAGAGGTGAAAAGTACTTGTTAAGCATTTCCGAGTTAGCTCATCAGCGTACGAAAAAGTTCTATTCACCCGTGTAGTAGGCGCTTGTTTGCTTTTTGGAGTAATGTTCAAACGAGTTTGGAAAGTTATCCGGGATTATATTGGTTTTGCTTCACCTCGGTCTGTGATTGGTCCATAAAATTTCCGCCACAATCTCAACCAATCAAGTGCAAAGTTTAACTTGGTCACTCACGTTTTCCCGCGCTTCAAGCAGCTTGCTGGTTTTTACCGTCTTTGTGATTGGCTGTTGTGATCACTTTGGTTTTGGTTTTCTTACACCCAAACGAAGTGTGCTCTTTCACATGTCAGTCCCACTCCTATCGGTGGCAACCTCTACTAAGAGAATCATCTTTTGCGTTAAACATCCATAAAGAACGTAACGTAATCATCGAATGAATTCTAACCCACGTTCAGATTGCAACTCAACATGACTTTACCTCTCTTTTTCGTCACCTCGTTCTAGGAGTACCAATTTTTGAGCCCGTAGGGTGCTACCTTGACAGCGGTACCTCACCTCGTCCCATGCCACTGCTTCTCAAGGATTTTCGCCCAGAAATGAACTGGAATAATATCGAGGCTGTAATTAAACAGTGCGCAAGCTTGGCATACAACAGAAGTCTCAGGTTGTTTTTAGATCTCCTGTTGCTATCATACACGTCACGCTGCACTTAATTTATGAATTTATGTATGTTGTTCATTGGGTATAATTACTACGTTATCTTACTTCTTTGTTGCTTCGGATTCAGCTATTTTGGACTACGCTATTATGGACAATGTTGGTCCGGTGCAACCGCTGATCAAACGTACAGTCGTGACGGACCGGATAAGAGATGCGTGAGAGGAGTAGGCCTGGAATCTACCTACTTTGTGTACAAATTTTATGACTACAGTCATCAAGGTGAGAAACAGGGACCGGTTTACCACTTCCCATTTCCGTATTGGAAAAAAAAGCATACATACACACGTTAAAACGGCGCGACATGTGACTCTGAGAACTGCGTAAGGGAGTCTTTTTACGGAAGTGAGTAGGTGGTTCTAACTTAATAAGGCTAGTGGGTTAAGCGTTCCCGTGTGATAATTCAGAAAGAAAAGTACCGAGTAGTAACAGTGCTGTATAAAGATTGTTTCAACTCAACTTATTCACAAGCTTTCCGGGGAATCAGTTCTATTAAATTCAGTTTCTACTTACGTGATGGGCAAAATTAGTATTCTTTAATGCAAAATAACATGAAATGTAATAAATATACGCAATCAAATTTTCTGCGCTTTATTTTTCATAGTTCCCGGATGTAACATGGTGTGGAAGGCTCAGGATAACTTCTGTTTTCTTGTGTCTGCAAATTACAGTTCAACCGAGAATAAAATGAAGGAATACTGTCAAAAAAATGAAGGAGACTTGTATTATGCAACAAATAAAAGTGCATTCCGCCTACTGGAACAGTTCCTTTACACGATTGTGTCGAGTGCAAATGGCGGAAAATCTTCCCAATGTATTGTGGTAGGCCTTTTGAATGCAAGCTCCTTCTCAAACTTACCTCTTACACAGCAGAATAAATCAAACTCGATGACACACATCTGTGCCACGAGATTGCCAAGTCAATGGAAGTTACAAGGATGTCTTGTTAACAGCTGCGATCATTTGTGCATCGCGCCCAGAGGTGAGGGTATAGATATAGAAATATCCGTGTTTCACTTTACAAAAGGGAGATTCCCAGGGAGAATCTCCGGGTCGGGTCGGCAAGATAGGACGAAATTCTTGACCAATGATATCGCTATCTCGGATTTTGATATTCCAATTGTCTCAAACGTGGGCCGCGTTCGGGTTAGGGTTAGTGTAGTTATTACAATTATTTTACCCCGGGAAATCTCAAACACCTAAGATCTCGAACCGGGAATTTATAGAGTCCACGAAAGGTTGAGTTCAACTGGACGCGACTAAAAAAAGAGAAATCAACTTTAATACTTCTTCATTTCAGACATCAGCCCTGTTTCTGGAACATTCATCCAGCATGCCACAGACGCTGCTTTCACAGGTCACATGATTACCAGCCTGCTCGTCGATGACGTCACTGTATGTGCACGTGAATGTCTACTCTATCGCAATTGTGTGTCGTTTAATTTCGAATATCTACCGACTGGAGGTCGAGAATTAATGAGTTCAGGAAGGGTCTGCGAGCTGAATGACGAAATTAGAGACAATTGTTGGGCAAAATTTCATCGACGGAACAATTATAAATACTATGAAAGGTTGCAACTGTAAATCAGTGTTTCTCGAGTTTTTTTTTTCAGTTTGAATTTTGTTGAAAAAATGACTGTTCCCCTCCCGAACCGTGGTGTTCTGCGAAATGGCTCAATTTGGACGTAAATAGGAGACAGCAAATTGTTGAAGGCGCCGAATGGCAAAAAACTGCCTCTAACATCTCTACTCTCGAAGGAGTACTCTTCTCTTTCCCTGAGAAGAATACAGACTGCCACGTGATATGAAAGAAAACTTGTATCAGAAGTGACGGCAAGAAAGTGATGTCGATTTAGTGTCATTGCTTAGTTCGTGTATTGTCCATCAAAAAGCTCTTACGATATTTGTACCTGCCAAAAAAAAAAATCCATCTGATGTTCAATTATATTTTTGGCATTGAAGTCAAGTTGTTGATTTAATTCTGACTTGTACTGAGAGAGAAGAACTCGCACTTTAAGTTGTTGTCCGCTAGTAACTTCTTCAGCGTGCCCGAAGATGAGCAATGTTGCTAAGTAACGCATTCTTCCCTTAAATTTGCTTACCGCTGTCGTGATAAGATTCAAACGTGTACTGTGAAAAATTCATACAGTCAATTCGTAATATCTTCTTGATACAGATTCAATAATTCTCAGAAAAGCGTACAGATTTTCCTGCCCAATAATGATGGGTTGATAAACGGCATAGTTCAGCTGATATGGAGGAGTAAACAAGAAAAAATCAACTCCGATATGTTTTTAGCATAGGTGTTAAGGAAGAAATGACAGGCTTTCTCGAAATCAAATATTAAGTAGTCTTACGGGCAAAACTTCAATTCTTTTCTTTTAGTTCTTCTGAAAGTAAAACAATAATTTGGTTATCTTTCACAACACCAATTTTCTAGTAATATGAATACGTGTAAAATTTTCCTTTTTAATTAATTTTCCAATCAGGAACAAAACGAAAGGTCGATTTGTTGAAACAATAGCTGTAAGGTTTTTTCTCATTATACAAATATTCAAAGCAAATAAATTGTGTCATTGAATATCTCCTATTCCGGTGTCGATAAAATGAGTTGAGAATTCGTCACTCATTTAATTTTCAGCTTCCCAGAATCTAACGAGCTTTGCACCGAGCAAAAGTAACTTCCTACGTAAGTGTCTTCAATTTGCTCTCTTTTTTTTTGTGGGATAAAAGATCTATTTAGAAACAATGAATTAATTTCAATGCTAAAAGTAGGGAATAGAATGTAGCTATCGTAAAACATTCGAAACTCAAGAAAGTACAAAAGTTCTTTGTTTCAAACGAATTCCGTATATAATGAAATCAGTTGTGTGTGAAAGCAAACAAATTAATTATAAATGCCGTTCAAATTTTAATTTAGTTTCTGAACCAGCGCTAGCGTTCGTTTCAATCAAGATCAATACCACAGATCAGAAGTTCTGCTCTCAATCTCATTTCACTTCAATGTTATCTTGAGACAAAATCTTTCCGCCGAATCTTTCAGGTGAGGATCTGAAGATATACATGTTTTTAGAGGTATATACAATCAACTCAAAGTTCGAATCTGTTTAGCGGCGTCTGAGCTACTTGATAGATGAAGACGAACTTCAAGCATATTTTAAACTTAATCCTAAACGAATTTGGTCACCAATGTTGCAGAAAAAAGTCAAGTTCCATTGTCAACAGCCCTCCATGATTCTCGAGACAAAAGGGGCGCGTGCAGACTTTCCGTATGGTAAATATGACTCTTGGCTTCCAAGGGAGTATTTTTTATTATTCATTTTTTTTTTACATGAAGATACACTGTAGAAAAAGGAATGCTATTTCTTCGACATAAGTCAGGCAACAGCGCGTGCGACAGTGATATAAAACGCAAGCTTAAGGAATCGTGTTTCGGAAAAAAAAACCTTAATTGTCTCACAACTTTACCATTACGCAGTTCAAAATAAGTCTTAGCCCGAGAACTACACAGAGGATCTTCAAAAATGTATTTAGAATTCATTTCGTGCCAAAAAACACGTAACCATACTATCTCAACCGATGCTTTCCTGTCGACAAAACAAGACATCTAATCCGCTGAGGGGGATCAGATCTCTCTCTTGACAGGAATATGGTCCGATAAGCAATTAATTTGCAATTGCCTCTCACCAGAGAGTAAAAATTTTTCGTTTGATTTTCTCTTATTCAGTTTCTAACATTAAGGTCTTAACGTCAAAAGCTTTAACTAGCTCACGAGTCTGACTTTCTGGCTTTAAAGCAAAGGACATCTTAAATTTAGGATAATTGCTTGCGTTAATTAGAAAAGAAATTTAGACTAGGATCATTTTGTCGAAATACTTAACTATTTTTGAAAACAACATGGAAAACAAAAATGCAGCTGGCGAGAGAAAAACTTGCCCTGTCATAGCATGTCGCGTATCGATGGCGACCGTTATCACCTGGCGAAGACTCATAGTGCATGCGGTTGAAATTTTGCGATCTACACCGGAAGAGACAACATCATGAGATAAATGATTATACTTTATGGCATGTGCAGTAGATTCATAAGTCGTATACTGCTAAAAGCAATTCTGCAACCTAATGAACCCCCAAGTCCTAGGATTATATGGATAACTGTATAAAATGAGGTTTATTAGGACGATCTAAAATCCGCAACTAGGACGGTAAAATGACCCAAAATGTAACTCTGTTAAGTAGTTGATATTCATAGGTTTTTCTCTTTCTCGTGTTGTATTGCTTTTATATATTTGTTTACCTGTTTGACTTGTTTGTATGTTTGTCTGATTTCCTTTACACCGCGCGTGTCTGCAAGCAAACGTCGCGATCTACATCACACGTGACTACATCGTGAGACAAACGAAAAACTTAGCTTTTTATTGTTATTCACCACGATGAATAACCACAACCTTTTCCACACTTATATTGTTTACTTGTGTCCTGTATCCTCTCGGTTATAGCATCGGATGAAATCACGATTTACACCCAACTTATGATCTATTGATTCAATCGTTTGCTCTCGTTCATTTGCAGATATCTTGAGAACTACATTTTCTTCCTTTTAAATCCAGTTTAACACGATAATTACGTATTCCAATCATCGAACAAACAAGATTGAATTTGTTTGAACATATAGGGATTTTTTCAGTATTATTTTTTTCCCCCTTCCTAAAAAATGGTAGAAAACTCTTTTCTTTGTAATTAAATTCCCATGTTCACTCCATCATTACAGGGTTTCGTCCTGAAAGTTTCCGTAGATCATGATTCCAAAGTAGATCCGAGTTGTACGTGCTGTTTGCGATATGTTGCCTCAATTTGATTAATATTTAGAAGAGTGTATAGGCTACACTGATCAGCGAGATCTCCATCCAAATATTCCCTTTTTTGTTATATTACTTAGGGTGACGCATAAGGGATCTTTGGGAAATCCTTCTTTTCATAAGATTAAAAGGTTTATGAGCCAAACTAGAAAAGAGGAAAGATCAAATTTGAAGATAAAGAAAGCAAATGCATTTTCCTCACCGAAAGGGGATGTTAATATTTATGAGAAGTAAAAAAAAGTCTTAATTGAACGACAGATGGTAATGTTCTTGTTATTCTACCAGAATCTTAAACACGCTGAGACTCCAAGGTATATTATGGTGAATATTCAACGGCAGACGAATCTTTATTGTATCTAAACATGCGGTACATCATGAAAACAATTAGAAGAACGAATGATCGAAACTTGTTCAGCACAGGGCGCTTTTTGTTTTTAATTACATAACAGATAAAACAGGGAAGCTGTGACTCTAAGGTGACTTTAAGAACTTGAAGACATTCAAACTGAGGTGGGTAAAATGAAATTATGCCAATTTAATATTCAAGATCTTGAAACATAAACCTTCTTGGTAGGTTTACATATGAAGGATCCAAAAATAAACACGGAAATGAGTTTTGTATGGAATATTCATTTTTGTCCGTGATTAAAGTAAATTTCTCCTCCTGCTGTTGTTTGAAAAATACATCGAGTTGCCTTTTCAAATTTAACTTTATTGGCGAATTTCAAAGCAAAGGTATTTCTGGTCCCGATTTCACCCTTTCACTCCCATGAGTGACCAAGAGGGAATTTCTCCTTACAATATCAATACAATATCAAACAGACAAGTGATGAGAATAAAGGAAAATATCAATGAGGGTATGATTAGTTGATCCAGTACCAAATTCTCTAAACAAACATAGTGAGAATGATATGGCAGACAGAAAGGAGAATAAATAATGATATCTTAGGCGTGAAAGGGTTAATGTCTTGTTGGTTAACAAAGATTACTGCTTGACGTGAAAGATTAAATTTTAATTCCTTAATGTCAATTTTATGAGTTTAAAAAATGAAGTGAAATCGGAGCTGGAGGCAGGAAACAGTCAAAGTGACTCCTGCTCAATTGATGGCTTTTTCGGCTGCCAGTAAAGTACAAAGGAAAATATTAAATATTCATAATAAGAACAGTTTTATCATGTTGTGAATATTATATTATTCGAATTTGCTGATGTATAGAGGAACATCCCGAGTTTTGATCAGATTGCGGTTAAATGTGGCTAACTCTGCTTTTAAGCTGATTTACGGTTAGCACGCGTGAAACTCCACCTCGGTTTTCAAGTAAACGCAGAGTTGCCTTTTTTACGCGAGGTGAGTATCCGATTGATTGGAGGTTGATGATGTTCTGTGCCTCCCAATAAATTAAAGAGACATGTTTGCGTAACAGAGAGAGAACCATACTAAAAGCAGAATTTATTGTCTTACTTTTCCAATCAAATTGCGGTAACTAGGTTCATTAGAGACTAGGATCAAGAGAATGAAAATTACCAATGGGAAGGTTTGCAAGAAAATGTCTTTGGGATCCTTTTTAACGGTCAATTTGTTTTAATTTAGCGAGGAATTTAGGTTCTAGATTCAGCATGTAGTCGGGACTTATGGACTGATTTACGTTGAAAATCGACTTCCTCTAGCTTGAGAGTCTTGTACACCGGAAATCAACTTACATGTATTTATATTGCCACTTTTTGTTCATCTGTCTCGATAAGAAAAGGAGAGAGCATAAATTACTCGTCGAAAAATGAAAAATTGGTTTCTCATGC